AGGATACCTCATCATTCACTTGTGCACTCAGTTTGTTCAAGGTGCTTTTCGGGCTTGAAGATACGACAGTGAAAGGACTCAAAAGTCCCTGTCCTCATAGAGCTTGTGCTCAGGAGGATAGCCAGGCTGTAAGCAAGCACATCGTGCCAGGTAGTGGCCAGTATGAGTGAAGAGAAGAAGGGTACTTTCATTAATTTTTTAAAATTTTGTTATGTTGTACTGGGGATTGAACCAGGGGTGCTCTACCATTGAGCTAAGGCCCCCAGCTCTTTTTATTTTTTTATTGTGAGACAGGATCTCACTAGGTGGGTGAGAACTGGCCTTGAATTTGAGATCCTCCTGCCTCAGCCTCTGAGTCACTGTGATTACAGGTGTGTGCCACTGGGCCTGATAAGAAGGGTGCTTTTAGATATTGTGGTCAGAGAGGGCTTCTGGGAGGTGGTGACATAAGGCAAATATCTGAAGAAACCATCTGAGATCTGAAGTCAGTTCATTTAAGGTAGGAGCCAACTCTGTAGCACTTGTACCCTGGCATCCCCTATTCCTTCCCAAATATTTTAAAAAATAGATTTGTACATAAAGAACATAAATAATATACATATGTTATAAACAGTGAATTTGCTATCTCTGTGAGTCTGTGCTTTTTTCACATATTTTATTGATTGAGATAACATCAGGGTTGGGTCTGAAGTGGAAGTCATTTATTTTTACTGTTGTATGGTATTCCCTTATGGAATATATTGCAGTTAATCTATTCTGTTGATGGACATGTTGAAAGTTCCACGTCATGCTATTGCCATCAGCGTGGGGACACCCTTGTTTATTTCCCAGAGCGTGGAGCATGTATTTTTCTGAGTTTCTACAGGTGGAACTGCTGGGTCTTAAGGAATGTGCATCTTCAGCGTATTATTTTTATATGGCTTAATGGTTAAAATATTACTCAAGTTTTCTATTTCTTTTCAAAACAGTTTGAGTAAAATATTTTTCTCTAGAAATTTTTCTGTTTTCATTTTTTTAATGTGGTGCTGAGGACGGAACCCAGTGCCTCACATTTGTCAGGCAAGTGCTCTATCACTGAGCCACAACCCAGCCCCTCAAATTTATTGACATTAGTAATTCAGAGCACTTTATCATCTAGGTTCATGCCCTGATTAACTTCCTGTCTTTTTTTTTTTTTTCAGTACTGGGAGTTGAACCCAGGGGTGCTCTACCACTGAGCTACATTCCTAGCTCATTTTATTTTTTCTTTGAGGCAGGCATTCCTAAGTTGTCCATATTTGCCTTGAACATGTGCTCCTCCTGCCTCAGCCTCCAAGTAGCTTGGATTATGTGCATGTTCCACCAAGCCTGGCCTGTTTTCTTGATCCTGTTCTGTCAGAAGTTTGCTAAATTTTCAGTCTTTCTTTTTCTTAAAGAACTAGTTCTTCGGTTGGGGATGTGCTTTAGTGATAGATTGCTCACCTAGCATGCACGAGGCCCTGGGTTCCATCCCTGGCACTATTAAAAATTTTGTTTTGTACTGGGGTGCTTAACTCTTGAGGCACATCCCCAGGCTTTTTGTTCTATTTTATTTTGAGACCGGGTTGCTGAGGCTGGCTTTGAACTCACAATCTTCCTGAGCCAGCCTCCCAAACTGCTGGAGTTACAGGAGTTTGTGTGCTGTGTGCACCACCACACCTGCTCATTTTTCTGACTTTTTGAATTGATCTTAGCTATTGGTTTTCAACTCTTTTTACTTTCTTTTCTATAACATTCCCCCTACCCCTTCTTTTGTAATTTTAAAGTATTGGGGGTTACCTTGGTAAGGCCTTAATCGGTACTTGGCCTCCTCAGTTTGCTCATTCAATGAGAAACCCTGTGGCCTCTCACAATTCAGGGCCCAGCCTGTGTTCGAAGAGGGGCCACTTTGGGAATGGAAGCTGACTTCTTTGTTTTTTGAAGGAGCCCAGCATGAGTGGGAGCAGTCTTCTCTGGCTCTTTCTTTCAGGGAAAACAAAGTGCCAAAGGAGAGAGAGACTCCTATGGAAGAATATGTGTTCTCCTGGAGGGGGAGAGCAGAAGGGAGGGTCTTTGAGAGACCTTAATTGGGTCTGGTTCTAAGATGTCCACACCCCTTCATAGAACTAATTGAGATTGGAAGGTACTACTCAGGCCAGGATAGGATTTGCCAACAGTCAGGTCTGCTGGTAATCCCCACGTAGCACAGAATGGTGGACACTAGAGTAAGACCCTGTATCCTCTCTGGTTCTAGCCAGTTTGTGTCCTGAGGCCACTGATTCCTATGCTTTGGGCCCTTAATAGCCCTTTAGTGGTTGAGCTTAAAAGTAGCTGTGTCTCCTGAGTGTTCAGCATTTTACAATTTACAGAACCCTATCTCAGTAGAACCCTATTTCAGTCCTTGACCTTTGCCTTCCTTCTTGCCTCCAGTGACTGGGGTTGGGTCACATCACAGCTTGTAGATGAGAAACTAGAAGAACCTAGCTGCTGATGGTGGCTAGTGGTAACCTGGACGCTTTGCGAGTATTCTCTCACTTGTGCCCTAGGCACCCCTTCACAGCATCTGCATTTGCAAGTGAGGAAGCTGAGCCCTGGGGACATGACATGAGCAAGTCATGCAGCTCAAGTGGCACAGACCATATCTCCACCCTATGACACTTTGCTGAGGAAGAACCTTGAAAACTCTGGGGAGGAGCAGAGAGGATGCCTCTTTTCTAGGGATCTTTTCTTCTGTGTGTGTTTACTTGGTGGGTGCAAAGAATGCCAGCAGTTGGCCGAACATGGGCTTTGGAGGGAATGAAATATTGCAGGCTTGCCCCTCCAGGGCTTAGCAAGGAGGGTTTAAAACGACCTGCACATTCTACTTTCCAATGAACAGTATCTCTTCGTGGGCAGCTACATGTGTTGGTTAGCTTTCTGTCGCTGTGACAAAATACTAGAGATAAACAATCTAAAAGACAGAAGATTTATTTTGGTATAGCTTCGGTTCATGGTCACTTGGCCCCATCACTTTGGACCTGTGGCAAGGTAGAACATCATGGCAGCCAGGAAGCAGAGAGGGTGGGAGCGTTGGGGAGGGGAAAAAGCCAAGGTCCCAATATCCCCTTCCAGGGCATGCGCTCAGCGACCTACTTCCTCCAACTCTGTAGGCCCCACCTCTGAAAGTTCCACCTCCTCCCAGTAGCACTATCCTCTGGGGACCAAGCTTTCAACACATGAGCTTCTGGGGAACATTTACGAGCCAAACCATAATACCAACTTCCTCCTTCCATATCCCCTCTGTCTGAGTCTGGGCATTCCTCTGCCACATGCCAAAGGTACTTGTGTCCTGCCAGAGCCATGTGGAATGTCACTCTGGGGTCAAGAGGAGGACGGGCGGGTGAAACCCCTACTCCTGACTTCCTTCTTTGGCCCAGGACTCACATGCTTCCTTCCCCACTATGGCTTTATCATAAGGGGGCCGTGGCTTTCCCAGTGGGGCTCCTCTAGGGTGGAGGGGGGAAGGGGAGGAGGCTGCCTGAGCCTGTGTAGACCGGGGAGTGAGTTCTCCAGCTGAAATTGGCACTGGGAGCCAGGGATTAGGGTCCCTGCCAGGAAGAAAAGCGTTCCTTATTTACATGTCCTCACCTCCCTCTTTCAGGTGTAGTGTGTTTTCCCCCCTGACCAGGAGTTCATAGAAATGGTTAAGTATAAGATGATTGTGTGCCGAGATGTGGGTACTAAACCAGCATGGATAGTTCTCCAGATTCCTCTACTAACCTGTCTGTGCTGGGAGTGACTCACCCCTAACCCGGTAGGGGTCCGCTGCAGGGGAGGAGGGAGGCTGGTGTGAGCCCCAGATGTCGCATGTGCTCTTGGGTTTGGCATTAGGCATGTTGTAGTTGTGAAGTGCCCCCGAGAGCAGTATCAGAGGCTGGGCTGAGCTGCATGTGGGGGAAGGCCGGGAGACATGTGCCCCGAGTCTGACGTCTTAAAAAAGAACTGGACCAGAGGGCGCCAGGGCTAGCCAGGAATTGCAGCAGCCCGAGCAGGAACCCCAGTCTCTACCCCTCTTCATCAAGTGGGTCCTGCCTACCTAGGCTGTAATCCTTGCACTTTCTAGTGTTAATTCCTTTGTTCAGGAGCCCAGGGCTAGAAGTGTGGGTTCTTGCTTTTGTAGATCCCACCTCAGTTCTTGTCCACAGGCAGAAGGGATTTTTATTTATTAAGATTGTAGCCTTTGTAGGAGATGAGATTGTATGTTTTGCTTTTAAAGTTCTGCATGAAAATATAGTTGCAAGTGTTATACCATCCCTCAAAATGCCCATCTAAGAAGCTGTCAAGAAGCCCAGCCATCCGATTGGAAAGCCAAAAGCCTGATTTTTCAGGCTTCCAAACCTGTGTGTTGAGGCTGCCAGAGGTTTGTGGTAACTTGGTGAGCCTTCCTAAACCCAGCCCCATGACCCCAGGGAACCAGTACCCTGAGCAGGTCAGGGTGCCCCTCACAAGTGGGCATACCCTGACAATCCCATTGGGACGTGGCTCTTTGATCAGTTATAGAGGTGCTGTCACTCCTCAGCTGAGTCCTGGACTCCTAGGAGCCCACGGGGGGTGGGGGGGGAACTGGCCCTTCCCAACACTAATTGCTCCCCAGTCCCTGTCCTGCCCCATAAGGTACTATGCTGGCTTCGGGCCAGGTCTGTTCTGCCTGATCTTTCTTGGGCCCCTTCTTCCTACTGATGTGAGCCCAGCCCCAGAGTTTTTCAGGTGCCATGACTGAGGGCCTGGCCTGGTGCCCTTGGGAAAGTATGGCAATACCTGGCGTCACTGGCTGGCCCCACTCCCGAGCAACCAGCAGTGGTAGCCTTTCACCCTGTGCCACCCTTCCAAGGAATGGGGGCATGTGGCTCTCTGATAAGTGAAGCGGATGAGACCCTCCTTGGGACATGTATCCCCTTGGTCAATGCTGTAGTTCACCAGCTGGGGCCATGATACACATGTCTGTCTTCTCTCCTGGGCCACAGCCACCCCACATCATGCTGCAGCGCCGCTGAGATAATGGCTGTCCTCTTCTTCCATACCATGCGCTACAAGTCCCAGGATCCTCGGAACCCTCACAATGATCGCTTTGTGCTTTCCAAGGTAAGAGTCCAGCTGGCCAGGTGTGGTGGCGCACACCTATAATCCCAACGGTTTGGGAGGCTGAGGCAGGAGGATCACAAGTTCAAAGCCAGCCTCAGCAACTGAGCGAGGCCCTAGGCAACTAAGTCCTCTCTCAATATCTTGCTCTGTGCTAACTCAGCTGATAAACTTTCTGAGCTAAGGAACATGTGACTAAATTAACAGGTCACCCTTCCAGGGCTCCCCCAACCCCTACATTAACAAGGCTCTAACTCAAAGGAATGGGGTGGGCGTCCATGGTAACCATGTCCTGCTGGATGTCCTGCTCAATCTGGGAGTAACAGGCAGGACTTGAATCCAGGTCTGGGGTTATTTGGTGATTTTCTGCCTGAGTCTTTTTTACATTGTGCCAGCTCTCTGAAGGGCCACACTTGCTCCCCCCGCCAAGACTGCTGCTGTACAGTAGCAGGGTTTTGGATGGGGGCACCCTGCCTTGCCTCTTCTGGGTGAGAGTCACAGCCACGAACCATACCCCAATTGCTCAAAATCCACCTGTCCTCAGGCCTGGCTCAGCAGCCTCTGGTCTCTCCGGGCAGGCTTTAGAGCTTAGAAGTCTGTCCAAGTCTGTTTCATGCCAGAAACCAAGGATTAGGGCAGCCGGCTGCCTGTTGGGGTTTTGGCCTCATCCAGCTGCCCAGCTGCACCCCCCCTGCACCTGTCTTAATGCGTGCCCGGCCTTGGCTGTGGGAATTTTGGGCTGGAAACCAAGGGACTGGAGAGGGATGAAATGGGAGACACGGCCTTCACTTGTTTCTTTCCTTGAAACAGATACCCCAGCCGGCCGGCTCCGCCAGGCCCTGGGGTTCATGTGCAGTGGGAACAGCCCCATGTGCCAGCTCTCCATCTGACCCCCCCGTCTACTGTCCATCTTCTGGCAGGGCCATGCAGCTCCCATCCTGTATGCAGTCTGGGCCGAAGCTGGTTTCCTGCCTGAGGCCGAGCTCCTGAACCTGAGGAAGATCAGCTCTGACTTGGACGGGCATCCTGTCCCGGTACGTGTACCCGCCAGGAGCTTCCCAGGTCTCTGCCTCCACCTTTTCTCTTTCCCAGGCACAAGGGAGCAGGGCAGGGGCCCATGGAGACACGGAAGGTATTAAGGCAAAGGATAGGGATGAGATGAAGAAGGAGGGATGGGAGGGATGTAGGCTTTGGGGTGGGGGGCATGTTGTATTCACCCCATGCAGAGCAAAAGGGCAAGTTCTTTTTTTTAATTTGTTCTTTTTAGTTATACATGACAGTAGAATGTATATTGACGTATACATATATGAGGTATAACTTGGGCGAGTCTTTGAGGCCCAGCCAGCAATGTTATGGGGTCAGCTTCAAGGAGTGCTTTTCCCCAAGCTTCTCTTCCCTACTGCCCACCCCTTTCCCAACTGTAGACCAGATAGATACAGCTTGGGAAGAAAGTTTCACTAGTAAGAAGGTAGCAGCAGGATACTGGTGACACCCCAGGGAAGGAACCTAGCTTGTTCCTCAGGATGCCAACTGGCATCCCTACAAATACTGGAGCTCACCAATTATCACAGAAACTGTCACTTTGGCCTGGAAACTAGAGCCCAGCGTTCTACCTATTTTGCCACAAATTCCCTAGCTGCTTTATAAGGTGGGCTCTGTTTATAGAGGGTTAGTCCCCATCCTGAGGTCCCACAGCTCATTAGAGGACAGAACTAGGAATTGAACCCACACCCACAATTACTTTGGTATGAGAATAAGAAGTCACATTGTGGAGAAAGGCCTCCTGCTAGAGAGATGAGTTCACCAGGTCTGGATGGGGGTGTAGCTACCCTGGCTCCAATGGCTGGTGAAAAACTGGGATACTGGAGGGTTAGTTAAAAATGTGCTGCTCTCTGCTTTCCACGTGAGTAACTGTGGTTCTCTGTTATGACAGAAACAAGCGTTCACCGACGTGGCCACTGGCTCCCTGGGCCAGGGCCTTGGGGCTGCTTGTGGAATGGCCTATACAGGCAAATACTTCGACAAAGCCAGGTAACACCCCTACTCACTATCCTGCCCTCAATAGTTATCGGAGTGGTCTTTAGTGGACCAGCTTTAACGACCCCCCCCACCTAGCACTGCCTCTTGCCTGGCTGGGCTGAGTATGTGAACCCTTCTGCCCTTACAAAGACCCAGTGGGGAATGGGTACCACGGCCAGCCCTTTTCAAATGGAGCAAAGGGACCTGCCCAGAGCCCCTCAGTAGTAACTGGCAGGCCAGGTATGTGCCAGGGTACATGGTCCTATCCCATCCTTTGCGCCCCGGGTGCTTTAGCTGAGGAGTCCCAGTGTTGCCCTTAAATCCAGTGCCTGGAAGTCTCAGAAGGACTCATTCCCCCACCCCCATGTCTGATCAGTCACCAAGAGCCTAGGCCTGGGCTACTTTCTTTTGTCTTGGAAAGGGTTGGGTTGTGTGTTCTGGCGCTTGAGCCTCCTCTTATTAGCCAGAGAAGAAACAGCCATTTAAGAGATTGGACCTGTGAGGGTGGGTGAGCAGCCTGGCTGGGTATTTTTTGCTATTTTATTTTAGTTGGTTTGTATAGAACCCCCATAATCTGTCCCCCAGATAGACAGCAGTCATAAGGTTATCTGCTCTGGCCAGATTTGGCCTGGTGGGCAGGGCTTGCGAGCTGTTAAGAATAACCACTCGTGGGCTCAGTTGGCAGAGTGCCTGCCTGGCATGCACAAGGCCCTGGGTTCAATCCCCAGCATCACCAAAAAAAAAAAAAAAGAAGAAGAAGAAACCATTTACCAGGCCAGGTATGGTGGTGCTACTCGGGAGGCTGAAGCAAGAGAATTGCAAGTTCAAGGTCAGCCTGGACAAAGTGCATAAGTAAATGCATATGTACATACTTAGCATACATGTCACCAGAATGGCTCTTTCATTCCTTTACTACCTGAGAGCCAGGCCCTGTGCTTAGTGTCCATGTTCTTTATCAGGTTTCAGCTTGATAAGCCCCCTGTGAGATGGGAGCAATGTGAGTAGTTTACCTCTCTTCACAGATGTGGTAACCAGGTAAGATGTTTGCCTAGGCCCTCTGGTCAGTGGTGGAAACACCCAGGATACACATTCAGAGTCCCCCAGCTACTCTGTAAAGGGCCCCAGGGAAGCACAGGAAATGAGTATGGGGAGGTGAGTGCATGGGGAGCTGCCTAGAGGAGGGCCCGTGGGAGGCATGAAGGACCCAGCCCTGCAGCCTTCCACCCTGTGGAAGAGCCACAGTCCGGCTATGGTGGGCTGGCATGATAGTGGGTCCTCCAGGGGCAGGTGGATGCAGGGAACCTGGCCCTGCACTATATTGTGGGAAGCATCTACTGTTTGCAGGCTGTTACTCAGGGGCAGGGGCTCCAGTAGGCTCCGCACCCATCCCAGACTCCCTCAGGCCAGGTTCACCTGGCAGCACAGTCTTCCTCTGCAGTCCTGGCTGAGCTTTGGGGCAGCTTAGCTACACCCAGAAGTGATTCACCGTGAAATGAAGAGAGAGTCACAAAGAATGGGATGTGGGTTTAAGAGCATTTTAGTTGGCCTAGAACCAGACATGTGAGTTAATTATTCCCTACAGTTGCTTGAAATAATTCCCTATGAAGGATCATTTCCTGACCCTCACATAATAGAGCAAGTCAGTGTAGGGAGAAGGGGTTTAGCTGGGTTCCCAGAGGCCAGGGTGGCTTGGGGCCAAGGTTGGCTAAAGCCTAGTCCCTCAGACTACCTGGGGAAAGGGGCCAGGTCACCAAGAAATTATCAGCCTGGACCAGGCATCCGGAGCACTGTTCCTACCTGCCATCTCATTTGAAAGGTATATAGAACAATATAAAAAAGAAATGGACATTTTTCTTATTATTAGCCCTCTTCCCCAGTTTAAATCTAACAATATATTGCTAGGTTTCCTCCATGTTATTGTAAAAAATAAACTTAGAAGCTAGCAAGCTAGCAATCTTCATATATATTTAAATTATATTCTGCTTTTTAAGATTGAATCTTTGCCAGGTATGGTGTTTCATACCTATAATCAATCCTAGCTATTTGGGAGGCTGAAGCAGGAGGATTGTAAGTTTTGAGGCTAGCCTGGGCAACTTAGTTGAAATCCTGTCTGAAAGTTAAAAAAAAAAAAGACAGAATCATTTATCATGAGTGTTTTCACACAATGTTATCTGTGAAGAGCTAGGCATTGTTTTTGTTTTTGGGTATTGGGGATTGAACCCAGTGGTACAGAGCCACATCCCTAGCCCTTTTTATTTTTTATTTTGAGACAGGATCTTGCTAAATTGCTTGGGGCCTCACTAAGTTGCAGAGGCTAGCTTTGAACTCGAGATCCTGCCTCAGCCTCTCCAGCTGCTAGGGTTACAGGCATGTGCCACCATGCCCAGCAAGAACTAGTTTTAATGATTACATCGTGTTCAGTTTCATGGATGTACTGTGACACACACAGGCAATCCTCTGTGGGACGTGAAAGATGAATCCCAAACAGTTCTGCTGCAAACATCACTTTTCTCTTTAGTTCATGATTACACATTTGTAATGTCCCTACCCCTAAATCTAACACCTTGGGCAATACCAGCTCATGGTTAATCCAAGTTTCTGTAGGTTCTCGTTCCTGTTTCTAACCATTGTCCAAGCATCTTAGGGCTTTAAGACACTCTCCTGACCTGAGCCTGTTGGCCCCAATCTTGAAGGCCAGAGCTATGCTGGGAATCTATTCCACTTAGTCTGATTTCCCTGGAAGTGGGTTGCGGTAGGTTCAACAACCAGTCTGCTTCCCTGGAATTTCTTATTGGGGATGTCAAGTTTCCTACAGGCCTCTCTGGCTTAGCCTTATCCCAGTGGTCCCTTGTGGGAACTGTTGTGCCAGACCAGAGCCCCTTCAGGATCCCTGGGTAACTGCACAGAGAGAGGAGACAGCTTGAGGTTAGGACCCAATTTCAGGAAAGCCCAGGTCTGGAATAGGACCTTTGGGAAGTATAGATCTGAGGCCTTACCCTCTGGGCCAGGGAACCAATAGACTGGCCTGGTGGAGTCCCCAGAAGAGATGCACCAGGCCAGGCGTGGTGGCGCACACCTCTAATCCCAGCAACTCAGGATCATGAAAGGATCTCAAGTTCAAGGCCAGCTGGGTCAACTTAGGGAGACCCTGTTTCAAAATTTAAAAAGGGCTGAGAATGTAGCTCAGTGATAGAGCATCCCTGGGTTTAGTCTCAAAAAAGAGAGAGAGAAGTCGCAGACGGGGGAATGCAGGGAGCTCTCCCGGCCTGGCAGCCTGTGGCAGTGCTGAGTCATGCTGACAGCTGTGGCTGGCTGCCCGTCTCCCGTCTCTCCCTGCTTTCTCTGCCTTTGCCCTGCAGCAAGGAGACTGGAGACCTGGATGGCTGAGCTTGCAGCCAGGTCAATGGCCTTTCCCTGAAGCAGCAAAAGGGCAGTTGTGTCCCTATGATCCCAGTCAGGCACCAGCTTCGTTCCCTAGGGCCATACTCTGGGCAGGTAAGGGGATCCCCAAGTCCTGCTGCCCCCATCCAGTGTCCTAACACAGCCAGGAGGAGACAGTCTATCTAGGCTGCCGACAGATTGGAATCCCGCTCAGCTACTTATCACAGCGTGGTCTTCATACAAGTCCCTTGGCCATTCTGAGCCCGTTTCCTTGTCCACGTGTTGTGGGAGTAACAAATGAACTTACCTGGAGAGGGTTACTCGGCACAGAGCCTGTCACTGACCCTGCTCCTGAGTGCCATAGGCCACACTGTGAAGGGAGGTAGTTACTCTTTCTATGCCTGTTGCTGCTACCCCTCACATCTCTGGGGCTGGGGTCAGAGTCTCTGAGCTGATCCCCTGCCTCCACCCTCCCCTGCAGCCCAAGAAAGTTCTATTTTCTGGGTGTTCTTCCTGAGTTCAGTGCTCTTTTGCCATGTCACACTGCCTTGAAAAGGGCATACTTGCCTATGTTGAGTGTAGAAGGCCCCTGGGGTGGAGAAAGGACTAGGCCCAGCTCCAGTCTTAGGGCTTGGGAGAGCCCACTCCATAGGCAACTGGTCCCCATGCTGTCTTCAGGGGCCCTTGGCTGTGCTCATTTTTCTGCCAGGCCTCTTGCCTCAGGTGCTCCCTGGCCTGTATCATGGTCTCCCCAGTCCATCTCCTCCTAGCAGAAGCAGAGCTGGTTTCCAAGGTTCCCCTTTCTTGCTGGTCCACCCAGAAAGTCCAAGGGACACCTCCAACACCCATTGCCATGGATAGCTTAGCCCCTCCTGCCCAATGCACCACTCACCTGGTCTCCCTCATTTTCCTCTTGCTCTGACACCATTCTTCTGGTTCTTATTGGCCAAGTCCTTGTTGTTATTTATTTATTTTTAAGCATTGCTAGGAATTGAACCCAGGGTCTTGCACATGCTCTACCACTGAGCTGTATTCCCAGACCCCCTGTCATCTTAGAGCAGCTAGTCCTTTTAGGGATGGGCAGCAGGGATCTGGTGACCCACTGCCCCTTCCATGCTGTGTATTCTGTGTGTCCATGTATGGCTGCACCTCAACCCAGGAAGCAGGCTTCTTGGGAGGCTGGGGCTGGGAGCCTGACAGGCCCAGAGGAGAGGAACCAGCCACCCACCTGCCTGCCTTCTGTCCACAGCTACCGAGTCTACTGCATGCTGGGAGATGGGGAGCTGTCTGAGGGCTCTGTGTGGGAGGCCATGGCCTTCGCCAGCATTTACAAGCTGGACAACCTCGTCGCCATTCTTGACATCAACCGCCTGGGCCAGAGCGACCCTGCCCCACTGCAGCACCAGGTGGACATCTACCAGAAGCGTTGTGAGGCCTTTGGGTACGTATGAGGCTGTGACCTGAGAGTAAGCACATCATGGAATGTTGTCTGGGATAGAAGCTTTGCAGAGACAGGGGCTAAAGCTGAGAGGTTAGCCCTACCTGAAGGTCTCCCGTCTCTAGTGTCTTGGCTTACAATTCCAAACTCTGGACATTTGAACTTAGTAACTTGAGGCCACCACTGTGGATTTGTGGGCTGAGGCTCAGTCTTAAACAGATTTCTATGTGTGGTCGTGTGGCATGATAGTTCTCAGAGCTTCTTAGGTAGCCTCACTTGTTCTTGGGGTAGATGGGAGAAGGGTCCTGAATGTGAATAGGGGTCACTCAGTTAGGCTGAAGGACAGTAGCTACAGAGGGGATGTACATCAGTTCAGTGACCTTCTGTGCACCAACCCCAGTCAACCCAGGGAGGAGGAACAGGTTCCTTCTCCTAGTGAAACCAGACAGAGGATAGAATCCAATTCTTTCTCATTTGATCCTTAAATGACTATGAATTCAGAGTCAGGTGTTACAAAGCAGGGAGGTCCATCTGGGTAGGTATCAGCCAGAGGGACTTTCACCTTGATGCCTCTATCTCAGCTCCAAATATAAGCTGCTCTACAATGGGGCTCTAAAAGACCCTGACCCCCAGACTTCTTATTGGTGAGGAGGCTGTGAAGGGGAGGACCCCGGGCAGGGAGTGAGTGGGTGGGTTGATCTGGGCAGGGCCTTTAGGGCCTCAGGTCAGGCCTCCAAGGGTGCCCTTTGTAGTCAAGTCCCCGCCTGTGATTGCACCAAACTGACAGGAACTTGGAGCCTGCCTTATAGTAATAATTGCTAGCAGACTCGGGTCTGTCATTTATGAAGACTGACCTTATAAAAGGAGAGGATGAAGGGAGGGAAGATTCTGTTGACAGATTAGGAAACTGAGCTATAAGGTGCCTCAGGGCCTCCCCAAGGTTGTATTAGTGTGGGGACTTGGAGTATAACTCTGGCAGTGCCTCCTTGGGCTTGTGTCCATAACCTGTGGCTTTGAAGCCAGATACCTTAAGTCTTGGCTCCATCATGGGTTTGCTTTGTGACCTTGGGCAAGTTACTCCACCTTCAGCATCTCCATTGACTTGTTGGTGAAATGAGGGCAACAGGAGTTGGTGGCCCATGGTGTTGTGAACTAGAATGGGTTCGTGCTCAAAGTGCTCAGGACAGTGCATAGAGTGAGCCCTCGGCACAAGCTCACCACTATCATTATTATCATTAATAGGCCCAAAAGAGTTCAAGAAAAGAAACCAGGCACAGTGGTGCACATCTGTAATCACAAGTTGGGAGGATTGCAAATTTGAGGCTAGCCTCATCAACTTACTGACACCCTCTCTCAAAATAGAAAGGGCTTAAGATGAGGCTCAGTGGTAATGGCAGATCACCCCTGGGTTAAATCCCCAGTACAAAGAAAGAAAGAAAGATGACTTAAAGTACAAGTTACCAGATGTGGTGGTGCACACCTTTGATCCCAGTGGCTCAGGAGGCTGAGGCAGGAGAATCACAAATTCAAAGCCAGCCTCAGCAACTCTGTGAGGCCCTGAGCAATTTAGTGAGACCCTGTCCCAAAATAAAATATTTTCAAAAGGGCTGGGGATATGGCCAGTGGTTAAGCACCCCTGGGTTCAATCCCTGGTCCTACTACTACTACTACTACTAATATTAAAGTGCAGATTAAACATTTTAAACGTTCAGTATCTGTGGAGTTATAAAAGTGTCCTCCAAATAAAAACTGATTCCAAAATTCATTAGGAATCTAGCAGCAGGTATTTCCTCAACCACTTGACACCTTGCTGGGTGTTACTTCCATCTCACTAAATAAGCCCTTTATGCTTTTCCTTTAAAAATATAAATGAACAAATAAATAAATGGAGGGGGAATAAAAGAATTTAGTAGCAGACAGATTCTAAACCTAGTGTACTGTCCCCAAAAGAGCCCTCATTAGGAAATGAGCAGATCAGGAATGAGACAATACATGACCCAAGCTTTGAATTACTTAGGAAGAGGAGGGAAATCTGTTCAAAGGCAAACAAAAGGAAGTAAAATCATGTGAAAATGAAGGAAACAGGAGCTTCCCAACTCATGTTGCGGCTATGGGCAGGGTGCAGGCCAGCCCTGGGAAGCCAGACCACACTGTTCCCTGGGGGTTCTTCAGGGCACTCTGGCACCTGGCTGTCCCTCACCCTCTTCCACCTCTGTCTTCAGCTGGCACGCCATCATTGTGGACGGACACAGCGTGGAGGAGCTGTGCAAGGCCTTTGGCCAGGCCAAGCACCAACCCACAGCCATCATCGCCAAGACCTTCAAGGGCCGTGGGATCACAGGTCTGTGTGGGAGCATGTCGGCGCGCTTACTTGCACATGGCCCCCATGGCTGACTGGTGGTGGTCATTAAAAAATGTAGTTCTTGGGGCTGAAGCTCAGGGGCAGAGGTTTGCCTACGTGTGTGAAACACTGGGTTCAATCCTCAGCACCACATAAAAATAAACAAAATAAAGGCATTCTGTCCATCTATAACTACAAAAAAAAAGAAAGAAAAAGTGCAGTTCTTGCCGGGCACAGTGGCGCATGCCTGTAATCCCAGCAGCTCCGGAGGCTGAGGCTGGAGGATCTTGCATACAAAGTCAGCCTCAGCAAAAGTGAAGTGCTAAAGAACTTAGTGAGACCCTGTTTTTAAATAAATTACAAAATAGGGCTGGGTCTGTGGCTCAGTGGTTAAGTGTCCCTGAGTTAAATCCCCGGTACCAAGAAAAAAAAATGCAGTTCTTAGGCTGGGGGGTAGCTCAGTGGTAGAATATCCTGCCTAGCACCCGCTAGGCTCTGGGTTTGATTCCCTAGAACCATATACAAAAAAAAAAAAGAAAGAAAAACTATATATATATATATATATATATATATATATATATATATATATACACACACACACACACACACACACACACACACACACATATATATATATATATATATTTTTTTTTTTAAAGCCAGTTACAGTGACACATACCTGTAATTTTAGCTACTCAGGAGGCTAAGGCAGGGGGGTTGCAAGTTCAAGGCCAGCCTCAGCAATTTAGCAACACCCTACCTCAAAATGAAAATTGCCAGGGATGCAGCTCAGTGGTAGAATGATTGCTTCACTTGTGCATGACCCTGGGTTTGGTCCCCAGCAATACTAAACAACAAAAAAGGGTGGTCAAGGACAGAGGCAATCTGTAGTACTACAAGGGCCTGATTCTAGGCCTTAGGTTGGCATTTCTGCCACATGCCCCTGGCTACCTACCTACCTGCCTGCCTGGGACCACACCTCTCTTTACCTGCCTTCCATGAATTAGAGGCGTTTAGGACACTCTAAGAGATAGTACTGGGAGCCCTCTAGGAGGGTGTGGACATCCTGGTGAGGACTTTAGGATATTGTCATGGCCTCAGTGCAATTGCCTAACACTGAGCTTGTAGGTGTTAAAACCATGTAGCATCTGGAATCCTCAAAGCTGCTTAGGAGCTCCTAGTAGTCTGTGGAGCTGCTGGGTACTGCCTGAACAGATTGGTCTGCTCATAGCTGGGCATGCTGGCACACACCTATAATCCCAGTGGCTCTGGATCTCAACTTCAAAGCCAGCCTCAACAAAAGCGAGGCACTGAGCAACTCAGCAGACCCTGTCTCTGAATAAAATACAAAATAGGGCTGGGGATGTGGCTCAGTGGTCAAGTGCCCCTGAGTTCAATCACAGTACCAAAATAAAAGATTGGTCTGCCCTTGGCTCGCCCAGGCTATGGTGACATCTGAGGTGACCTCAAGAGAGGGCTATTCAGCCTCACTGGTCCCCACACAGTGCTCTTGCAGACCCCACTGAGCTATTTATAGTTGTATGGGATGACCTTAGCAGTACTCACTCTGTTCTGGCCTTCATCTTCCCCTTCTCTTGGCTAGGGTCCTTCCCAGCCCACCAACTGAGTGTGATTTCTATAGCAGAATCATCTCTGTGCATGCCTTTGGGGAGGCAGGGTAGAGGGTAGGGCGGGGGGCACCATGGCAAAGGGTATGGGCTACGTGCTAAGCCACATATATTTCCTCTCTTCCTGCTCAGCTGAGCTCCCAGAGAGCCAGTATTCACTGAGTGAATAGTGAGAACAGGAGTCCTGTTCTCCGAAACCCTCCTTTTCTGATCCCTGTGCTGCCCTCTGCTTGTTTCTGATGACACCTTTCCTGGCCCTCGGGAGCTTCTGTCTTACCTGTCCCTCTGTCCTCCTGTGTTGTACCTGTAGGGGTAGAAGATAAGGAGTCCTGGCACGGAAAGCCCCTCCCCAAAAACATGGCTGATCAGGTCATCCAGGAAATCTTCAGCCAGATCCAGAGCAAAAAGAAGATCATGGCCACTCCCCCACAGGAGGATGCCCCCTCGGTGGACATCACCAACATCCGCATGCCCACCCCGCCCAGCTACAAAGTTGGGGACAAGGTACTTGCTTGGATCTTGCTTTTCTGGACTCAGTGGGTTTGGGACAGTTCTGGTTCTCTTCCTTCCCAAGACTGAGACCAAGATGTACCTTCTGGAGGACTGGGAAATTGAGGAGAGGGATCGTGTATGGTGAGGAGGACATCCTGAGTGAGATATCCTCATGCTCCTGTCATGCTTCCCTCATGGGGATAGCTCTGGAATTATTTATATGCAGAGGCACAGAGAGGGCAAGAGGCTTGCCATAGTCACATAGTAAGCTACTGGGAGAAATGAGATAGTAGCCCAGGACTCCTGAGTCTTTGCATCCCTGGCTCATGAGGACCCATAGGCCTGAGCTGAGGACTTCTACATGGCTTGGCAAAGGTTAGGCAGAGTTCTTCTGCTCCTAGGCCTTCCCCTGAGTGAACTTTTTGTATTTTTATGAAAAGTGGAGTAAGTCACATGGGATGGGGAAGTGGGATTGTCTGGATATTTCTTTTTTTGCAATTCATATGGCTCCCGAGGGTTGGGAACAGGGGGCTCCAGGAACTCCCAGAACACTTCATCTTAGTTGTTAACAACCTCACAGGAGTTCACAGTTTCCAGGTGAACTTGTGTTGTTGGTTCCCTGTATCTGTCCCTATTTTTAGCCTCTCCCCTAAAAGCTTTGGGAGCCCCTAGAAGGAGACGGGGCTCAGGCCACAGCCCTGCGCATGCCTGGCAGTCAGTATAAGAACCTTCTGTCTCACTCTCTTCCCCACAGATAGCCACCCGCAAGGCCTATGGGCAGGCTCTGGCCAAGCTGGGCCATGCCAGCGACCGCATTGTTGCGTTGGATGGGGACACCAAGAATTCTACCTTTTCGGAGTTCTTCAAAAAGGAGCACCCCGACCGCTTCATTGAGTGCTACATTGCTGAGCAGAACATGGTGGGTGCTGCCGTGGGCTGAGGGGCACGGGTCCAGCCACAGTGGTAGGTCCAAGGTCGGGGAGGGGGGCAGGGGCAGGGCGGCAACCCTCCTCCTGCCATGGGCAGCCACACTGACTGAGCCAGGTGCCTATTTTGGGCCAGCCCAAGAACAGGTAGGACCCCACATCAATCTTTGACCCTGATTAGCTGCAGTTCAGGGTAGTTACGCCAAGGAGCACCTATTAAAGAGGTGTGCAAATGCAGGTGTGCATTTGTAGGCCAGTTGGGATGGTGAGTGGGACCTCTTGGGGTGAAGGAGCTTCTAGGAGAGGGCAGGACAGCCAGGAGGCTGACAGAGCCCCTGTTAAGCCCAAGGTCCTGGCGGCTGCCACCCTGAGGGATGCAGGCACGTACCCCATTGCAGAACAGCCCCTTGTCAAGGTCTGAAGTTGTGAAATAGGAGCACTGTTCTATCTGGTTTCTCAAAATCACTCTTCCTCCTGGCACAGGAGCCCAGCCTAGCTTGAAGACCCCTAGGGACAGGGAACTTCCTCTCTCTGGAAGCCACTCACCTCTCCAAAGTTCTTTCTCCAATGGAAGCTAAAGTTGTCTTTATGGCCTCCAGTCTATACTGGAGGGGGCTGGGATATCCCTCTGAGCTGGGAGGTTTCAGAGCCCTAGGGGAAGCAGCTGGTTTGGAACTCATGACTGTACTCTGTGCTTCTGGGTGAGCGGTGAGTGGTGAGCGGTGAGGGTCCTGGAGCCTCAGTGGGCAGGAGGAGTTGGGAGGACTGACCTCTGCAGAAGTCTCCTAGCTAGCCAAGGAGATGGGAGGGGTGACATTCAGAAGCCTGGGAAAAAGGGATGATTTATGTATAAGCTTTAGCCTTCTTGGTGAGAGGGTTTGCTGCTTATTGCTAGGAAAAAAAAAAGTTCCAGAGGAAAATCATTTTAAGAGAACTTTCAAAATTTTATTTATTTTAAGTGGAAAGAGTTTAGTATGGGTGTACAGAAATCACTTGCATGGGGTTGACAGATACTAGGATTACAGAATCCTCTGCTCCCCAAAAGGTGGCCTAAAGAGGTGTCCTAGACTCCCTGGCTACCCTCTGTCTGCCTCTTCAGGGCTGACCTGCCCTACCTGCCCCCAGGTGAGCATTGCAGTGGGCTGTGCTACACGCAACAGGACAGTGCCCTTCTGTAGCACTTTCGCGGCCTTCTTCACGCGGGCCTTCGACCAAATTCGTATGGCGGCCATCTCCGAGAGCAACATTAACCTCTGTGGTTCCCACTGTGGCGTGTCCATTGGTGAGTTTAGCTAAGATGCTTATACCTGTAACTCCCTTGATTTTGGACCAGGAGGTATGGGAGGGATTGGTTGGGCCAGGATTCCAGGGTAGGGGAATCCATGGATGGGGAATCTTACTTTAAGTTTACTCTTTCCCATACCCCAGGGGAAGACGGGCCCTCTCAGATGGCCCTGGAAGATCTGGCCATGTTTCGGTCCATCCCTTCCTCTACTGTCTTTTATCCAAGTGATGGGGTTGCAACGGAGAAGGCAGTGGAATTAGCAGCTAATACAAAGGTTGGTTGCATGGCTGTTCTTTCTAATACAGGCAGCTAGCTCTTCCCTAGGACAGAAGAAGAGGCCAGCACAGAGGCACAGAGCTGATTACTTGCTGCCCCAGAGCATTACTTCCTGCCCCTGGGGTTTATGTGGCTTAAGTTAGACCAGGAAAAATAAAATAGACACCACTACTACTGCCCCATGGGGTAATCAACCACCACACTCTCCCACAGTGAGGGATCCTAGCAGCCTCTGCCAGTTTGGCAGTGGATACCTATTTGCCTTCCTTGAGTTGGATTCTGCAAGACAGGAAAAGAATGAGCTGAGTCCCATGGTCAAGGTCAAGAGCTGCCTGGTAGAGTGCTGAGTGGTTCTTCCACTGAGTGGTGCCTACCCAATGCACCCCCTCCTAGTGGCCCCACCCAAGGCCAGTGCCCCTCTAGAAAGTAGTTTCCGGACCAAGGATGGCAACATTGTCAGAGTGTCTAGGGAGGTGCTGGCTGCAGAGGGCGCTCAAGGCCCTTTTTTTGCTACATTAACCAGGATGCAGAGGCTGACAGACACCCCTATGGGGCCAACTGGCTGACAGAGATTTGCACAGAAGAAAGGTCAATCTCTCTAGAAAGACAACACTTTCTGAGGTCAGAGATGCTCTGTCCTAAATTCCTCACTTTATCTTTCTGATCCTAGGGCATCTGCTTCATCCGGACCAGCCGCCCAGAAAATGCCATCATCTATAACAACAACGAGGATTTCCAAGTTGGACAAGCCAAGGTCAATGTCTCTCATGTCCCAGGAGACCCCACAGAGTGAGCCCAAACTCTCCCTGCTGCCATGCCACTCCCACCTCCCAACCCCTGAGCCTCACCAGCCCTCTATGTCACCCCCAGGTGGTCCTGAAGAGCAAGGATGACCACGTGACGGTGATTGGGGCTGGAGTGACTCTGCATGAGGCCTTAGCTGCTGCTGAGCTGCTGAAGAAAGGTGAGGAGAAAGGGACCTGAGAAGTGAGAGATCTAACACTGGCTGCAGATGAGGTCTTGGATGAGAGAGAAGATCATCTCTTAAATGATCATGATAATAATTAAAGCCACCCTTTGAGCACTTACTCCATCCATGCCCAGCATGATGCTCAATCCTGGGCTTCAGTGGTCACAGTTCCTAACCCCATGGCCCCAGCATGGTGATCAGGTCAGAGGCCCTGGAGCCTGCCCATGGGGCTGCGAATCACAGCTCAAACGGCCACTAATAAGTTCCTTGCCGTTACTGTGTCTCAGATTCCCCATCTATAAAATGGAGATGCTAGTACTTTCCTCAAAGGACTGTCCTGAGGATTGAGTCAGGGTGGCTTGGTGTTATCGTTATTATTAGCAGGCAGATGTTAACTAGTGATGCTCTTTCTTCCTGCAGTAGAATCCCAAAACAGATGTCATGTTTCAGCCATGCTAAGCTCTGTGGGCATGGCATCCTTAGTAAGGTGACCTAGAGTGAGTAGGAATTGATCAGCAAAGAGGGAAGCACACAAAGTGCAGGCAGGAATGGCGTGTGCAGAGCCTGGAGGAGCTGGAGGGAGGCTGGGAAGGGCAAGAAAAAGGTGGGGCTGGAGAATTCAGGGAAACTCAGCCCAGGCTGGGGTCCCGGTGGCAGGCTTTCAGCAGGGCACATCAGGTTTGGGTCCTTCCTTCTGAGAAGGCCATTCTGCTGCGTTCTCATCTGACCCTCTGACACCCTCCTGCCTGTGGCTTCAGATCTGCTGCCTCTTCCCCCACCCCACCATCACCCCATAAATTTTTTTTAGTATTTATTTTTTAGTTGTAGGTAGACACACAATATCTTTGTTTCATTTTTATGTGGTGCTGAGGATCGAACCCAGTGCCTCACATGTGCTAGGCAAGTGCTCTACCACTGAGCCACAACCCCTACCCCATAAATTTTTGCCTTAGATCAGATACCTGGGGCCTTCCATCTGGCTTATGCTTTGTTATTCTCTTTCTTTCTTTCTTTTTTTTCTTTTTTGGTACTAAATTGCTGAGGCTGGCCTTGACTTGTAATCCTCCTGCCTCAGCCTCCCAAGTCCCTGGGATTACAAGTGTGCACCACTGCACCTGGTTCCCCTTTTATTTTCAAAAACATCACAGGGCCGGGTGCAATGATGCATGTCTGTAATCCCAGTGGCTTTGGAAGCTGAGGCAGGAGGATCAGGAGTTCAAGACAGCCCAGCCTTAGCAACTTAGCAAGGCCCTAAGCAACTCAGCAAGACCCTGTCTCTAAATAAAATATTTAAAAAGGGCTGGGAATGTGGTTCTGTATTTAAACACTCCTGGGTTCAATCCTGGTACCAAAACCAAAAAACATCATGAGAGGGACCAGGAAGGCCATTTGGGGCCCACACATTCTACTCTGTTCAGAGACAGTCCCCAGGCCACACAGCTGGATGAGATCCCCAGAAAGATTTGGCAAGCATGAACTTGGGAATAAGAAGACAATTGGGGCTGAGCTCATCGCTCTATGACAGCCCTCAGGGTGTCCCCATCCAGGGTGTCATCCAAGGCCCACTAAGGGGCAGAACCACAGTGTCCAGCTCTTCCCTCCTTCTTTCCTCACAGAGAAGATCAACATCCGGGTGCTGGACCCCTTCACCATCAAGCCCTTGGACAGAAAACTCATTCTTGACAGTGCCCGAGCTACCAAAGGCAGGATCCTCACAGTGGAGGATCACTACTATGAAGGTAATTGGGGCTGCACCAGACAGGTCAGAGGAAACAGGGGGAGGCCCAGAGCCAGAGAATCCAAGAGCTGGACATGACCTTGAATTCCTTCAGGGACACAGTCCACCTTTTCCACACTTAGCAATGAAGTTGGAATCCTTGCCAGCTTCCTGAGTGGCAGGGGCTCTTGGAGCTGTGCCAGAAACTATGAGTTAGCTGGGTTCCTAAACCAAGTCCGAGGCCTATTAAAAGGCTGGATCCCAGCTGCTCTGAGGGACAGCTCTGGATTTTCTGGGCTGCAGCTGCCTTCCTGGGGCTCAGATAAAAAAGGTAAGGCTGTTGTACAGAATCAGACAGGGAAAGCAGTGCAGAATTTGTCTTTCATGAAAGGTCCTTCACAAAACAACCTCTCCAAGTACACACCACCCGCTCCTCTGAGAGGCTCCAGTCTTAGACTCAGGACAAGTGCTGATGTTAGTCTATACTGATGATGGCTGCCTGGAGGGGGGTGTTAGAGAAACATTTCAGAGGCCACTGTTGGGCTTATTTTAAAAATCATGCTGTGACTGATGAGTGATGTCTGCTCTGCTAGGGGAGGAGAACCATCTCTGCTCTCCTTGGCTTAGGGAATAAACTCAGACTGGTGAAGGGCTGAGGCCCACCCTCTGCTCACCCTGAGCCCTCAGCATCTGATTCACCTTTTTTTTTTTTTTCCCCCCAGGTGGCATAGGTGAGGCAGTGTCTACTGCAGTAGTGGGAGAGCCTGGAGTCACTGTCACCCGCCTGGCTGTTGCCCAAGTACCAAGAAGCGGAAAGCCGGCTGAGCTGCTGAAGATGTTTGGCATTGACAAGGATGCCATTGCACAAGCCGTGAGGAGCCTTGTCGCCAAGGCCTAGGGAGGGTCTGAAGTGCCGGGTGGGGGTTCTATGCATTCCTGAAAGATTCTAGCAAAGGTGCTCAAAAAAAAAAATGTACTGAGAAGAAAGGTAAATATATGTTTTGAGAAAAATGATTCAGCTTGGATTTTTTTTCCCCTTTAATGTGGATGCAGACAGTGTGGGTTCTGGGGGAAGAAGGGTAGGAGGAGAGCTAGGGAAGCTGACACCCTTGGCTCTGGCCTAGGACCTGGGTGTTCCAAGGAAGGACCTTCCCTGGGTCCAGACTTTGTCTTCAACACTAGAACTGCTGCTACCTCCCAAGCACAGCCAGCTGACACCCAGCTGCAGCCTGTCTATAGCCAGGCTGGAACCCGACTCCCTCTCATCCCCAGCCAGCTGGCCCTCAGGGAGGCTGGACAGCTGCTTCACAGTCTGGAAGCTGTCTAGGACCCTCAGCCTCCCAAAATCCTGCCAATGTCTCCTGGGGTAGAAAGTTCATTTCCTCATTGTTTCCACTCCTTATATCCTCTTAACCAGACTGAGAAGCAGAGGGGGAAATAAGGCAGCCCCCATCCTGGGGAAGAAAGCAACCCTCAGGTTGGCATCAGCTGTGGGTAGCAGGAGAAGCAGGAAGGTCCAGTTTCTGCCCAGTGCCATCGACCAGGGGTCCTCAATCCCAAGTGTGTACACCTCCCCAAACTTGTTAAACTTGTTAAAATGCAGTCACCTGGGACTATATTTATCGGCTGACCCTGGAGCTTCTGATGGCACACTTGGAGAGCTATATGGTCCCAAATTCCAGCCTTACTTGCTCTGCTACTCTAGTGGGTGGCCTCACTGATGACCACAGCTCATTCTTCCAACTGTTACTCAGGATCAGCCCCACTTGTAAGACCAACTGCATATGTAAAACTTTGTACTGCCTGAGGATAGACTTAACACTTCAGAAGGCAGGCTGGGCACCACCAGTGGGTTCCACAGGAGACGGGTGTAGTGGTGGTAGAATATATTTTTAGATGTACCCTCTTATCTCCCTGGTAGCCTGGACAGAATGAATCTATTATATCCACAGTCAGTGACTGCCACCCACAGAGCTACTGGCCCTGGTTTGGCTGTGCCACGTGCTGTGTGGCTGCATTTGTCTCAGCACCAACTCCAGAGAGAACAAGGAAGATGATAATACAGTAGATCTCAATCCTAGAGTAACAGTGAAGAGACTCCACTTGGCCCAGCACAGTGAGTAATGGGTAGAACTGGGATTGGAATCCAGATCTCTGTGACTCTGGGCCAGAGTTTCAAAACCTATAAGCACTAACTGGAGGTATTTTAGCACTAGCAGCCTGGGTTAGGGAGGTCAGCCAGGGTCAGGGCAGGTACCTGGAAAGCTGCGGCACCAGGCTCTGTAGGAAGTCCACTTCAGGGAGAAGAGTGGACATCAAGGCATTCTGTCCATCTACAGCTACCAAAAAAAAAAAAAAAAAAATTTTTTTTTTTTTTTAATCCCTAAAGGCCCGTGACAACCCTGGGAGGAGGAACTGAGTGAGCACCACCTAGTGGATATCATATAATTCTCACCACAATAGGATACCCCATTTTACAATGGGGTAACAGGCCCAGAAGAGACACCACTTGGCCCAACACAGTGAAACTGGGGTTGGAACCCAGATCTCAGTGACTTCAAAGATGCCAGTCTCTGCACCTTTCTGCCCCTATGGCCCCCTAAAGGAGGATTTGTGCTATTGGTCACCCAGAGAAGGGCTTTGGGTCCTGTAGGACAATGAGAGCAACTTACAGCTTCAATCCTGTATATCTTTCAGCAAAGTTGCTATGGTCTCCAGAGCCCACAGGCCCGGGCAGAGAAATTTCTAGAAGCAAATGTGACAAGGGCTCCTAGTTATCTGTGGTCCCAAACACTTGGTCAACCCTGACCAATCCAAAGCAAGGACCAAGGTCTGAGGATGGAGCTCAGGAGTCACTTGCCTAGCATGCACAAGGCCAGATTCAATCCCCAGCACCACACACACACACACACACACACAAAGATCACCTCTAAAGGAAAGGAAGGGGAAGGCTAACTGCCCTTGTCCCCTCAACCCCAGCCTACCCAGCCTCTCCAAGACCCACATGACTTGTGAAGGAGAGGATAAAAGCCTGGGCAGGCAGGTACTTAGGCCATGGGCAGGATAGGAGGGGAACAGCAGGACTCAAAAGGCACCAGAGCCAGTCCTAGGACATTAAAGACTCAGGAAACTGGGACATTTAGCCACCCAAGAGCTCCAATAAGCCCCTGAAACTCTTCTGCTGCTTGGTGTAGAATGTGCTGGAAGCCCTATCAACTAGGCCCTCATGGGAGTCCGAGGAACTTATCATTTCTCCTTTAGTCCCTGGTCAGGGAGTATGAAAAGTGAGGACCAAGCACCCAAGACATTGTGTCCTTTGTCCTGACTGGAGGCAGGTGTCACCTGATGTGGCAGCCAGAAAGGTCTGGTCAGGTCTTGCAGCTTAGCAGACCAGAAGGTCACCATGGCCTGAGGAGGGTCAAGGCTGCTATATTTTCCTACTGCTAGGGCAGAGCCCCTCCCAGCCCAGCTGGCAGAGGACAGGTCAGAGGCCACTGTTCCTCACACCACCACAGGGACAGGCAGTGTGACATGGCAACAGTCAGGAGAGCTACACTATTGATTCCTCATTCTCCAGCTACACAAGTGAAGGCTGGGCCAGCTGACCCTGACAGAGGGGCAGGCAGGGGGCCAGCAGGGCTGAAGTCACCTTACAAAGCTCCCAGACCAAAACACTGCAGGGACAGGTCTGGGTCTCATTCCACCTCCACCACTGTCCACTCAGCATGGAGAGTCGCCTTCCCAAACTTGGGTTTGCACATCCATTAAAGGGGAACAAAGACGGCTCCCTAACACTGTGTGAGATTGAACGAAGACATATTCAATAATACTATTGGGGCTGGAGCTGGAGCTCATTGGTAGAGTGCCCACCTCACACATGTGAGGCACTGGGTTCGATCCTCGGCACCACATAAAAATAAATACGTTATGTCCAACTAAAACTAAAAAAAATATTATCATCACATTGCCAAGCAGATAAGGGTTCATAAGATTTTATAATTCATAACAATTCATAGGCAGGGTGAGTGGCCTTTACCACTGTCCTTGGTGTGTCTACAGGCATTCAGGAAGTCCAGGGTTCAATGTGCAGAGGCCCAGGCTAGCAATAGGAGTCAGGGTCTGACACTCAAGTAGTTACCCAGTGCACTTGACACTTGGCTGTTACACTTTTTCGGGCGGGGCAGTGTTAGGGATTGAACCCAGGGGTGCGTAACCACTGAGTCACAACCCCAACCCTTTTTATATATTTAGAGACAGCATCTCGCTAAGTTGCTTAGGGCCTCACTAAATGACGGAGGCTGGCTTTGAACCTGTGATCCTCTTGCCTCAGCCTCCTGAGTGCTGGGATTATAGGCATGCACCATCATACCTGAATATTTTTTCATAATCATCGTTAACATGGAACTGTGGTGTTATCAGCTACACTGAGATATAATTATAGGCCATATAGTTCACCTATTGTTAGTGTCACATTCAGTGGGTTTTAGTATATTCACCAAGTTGTACAACCATCCACAGGATCAATTCCAGAACATTTCTATCATCCCCAAAAGGAAATCCTGTTTCCTTTATCCACCATGCCCATGGCTGAGATCCACAACACTTCTTACTGCAGAATTGGGGTCACATCTGTCCCAACCCATCCAAACAAATACCCCACCCAAGATGGGTGCATGTAGTAAGGATCTGGATCCTACCATGAAGAAAACCACACCAAAGAGCCTGTCCTGCTCCTCCCCTTTCAGGAAGACACCCTGCCTGAGGGCCTGGGGCACCCCTTCATCTGTCTCAAAGCAGAGATAAGAGGAGAGTGAAGGGACACTGGGAAGTGTTCTGGGTGGGATTCCAGAAATCATGGACCCTAGGGGATCTATCCAGATGTGTGGATTTGAAGTGTGAACAACAGAAAATAGGCAAGTGCCTATTTGAAGTTGGGAAGAGGAATGAAGGCATTGAATGCCTGGGGCAGCTGGGTGGAGAACTACAGACCAGGTCTCCTGCTCTATATCCACTGCAGAGAAAGGAGCTCACCCAGACATCACCCTCAGGGCAAGACAAGAAGCTTTCTCCTTTGAGCTTGGTCCTGAATGGAGACGCTGGTAATCTGTGTATTGTGCTGGTTTGAATGCTGACTTAGCAAAGTCAGACATGGCTTTGGGAAAAATAAGCCCTTTGGTCTCCTGGCAGGCAGGAAAGGGGCTGTGCTTGAGGCCAGAGGTCCTGCTACTGTCCTCATTGCCTGAGCCTCAGACAGGAAGGATCCTGCTCCCAGCTCCTCTGTCTCCTCTGGGAGCTGGGAGGGACAATGTCAGGAATAGGGAGACGCCTAAAAGTTGCTGAAATCCCAGTCTTGGTCTTCTGGGATGGCCATAATAAAATAGTACAGTATGGAAGACTTAAAAAACATTAACTTTTTAAAAATATACTATGCTGGGGATTGAACCCAGGACCGTGGAGCTACACTCCAGCCCTTGGTGTCTCATAAAAATTCTATCAGATCACAGCCCCACACCTCATTCAACCTTAATTCCTTATAGGTTCTACTTCCAAATACAGTCACTTTGCGGGGGCTAGGGCTTCAACACATGAATTTGAGGGGAAAAAATTCAGTCCATAGTAGACCCCCAAATCTGCCAGTTTCACAGTTCACCCATCCTCCCACCAGAGAACACCAATCTGGATGTTGGAATTGAAGTTTCAAAGAAAAAAGAGATGTGGTGGTACATGGCTATAATCCCAGCAACTCAGGAGGCTGAGGCAGGAGGATTGCAAGTTCTAGGCTGGCTCAGTGGTTAAGCACCCCTGAGTTCAATCCCCAGTACCAAAAAAAAAAAAAAAAAAAAACCAGGGGGATGGGAGAAGGAACAGAGAGACAGGGAGGGTTCTTCAAGAAGGGAGCAAAAATTCATCAACAGGCCACTGACCACCCCAACATATATTCAGGCCCAAGGCAAAAGAGAAAGCCCAGAGCACCCATTCTTCATCCAGGACTTACCTCCCAAAAGAGCAACTGT